AATCTAAACCTCCCCTGGCATATCTTGAGGCCATTTCCTCTTGTCCTGCCCCTTGTTACTCAGCAAAAAGAGACCAAAACCCACCTCACTAAAACCTCCTTTCAGGTACATCACAAACAGGACAAGGTGATTCAAGACAATGACATAAACATTCAAGTCATTCAAGTGCCTTAGCATAGAGGATTATACAATAGACACAAGGGCCATATTCTCTCATGCTAGAGATAAGGAAGTGAAACAAGATTTTTACTCACAAGGCACAGGAGGAAGTTTCCAGGAGATGCTGAAGCCAAGGAACAGCATTGCTATTGCAGCAAAGGCACAATCAGGGACTATTTGGGTCAGCTGCCCACCCCATTAACCTAATAGTCCCCAACCCTAAGAGGGGAATCCTGGTGATAATGAACTTCTTGGCAAGCTCTCTTGGATTTAAAGGCCCAGGATTAAAAATGGGGTCTGGATTGAATGGGAGCTCATTGAAGTCAAGGGTCCCTTCTGCTGGCACTGATGCTTGCTGTTCATTTCTGTGCTTCAACTCTGCTCAGCAATAACATTATTGTGACTATAACAACAATAAGGCTATTTACATGCTGTGCCTACCCTCTCTTGGGCAGAGAAAACATAAAGGCAAAACCATAAGCAGGTATTGGTCACTTTAAATAGCAAATGTAAAAGGAAGAACTAGAGAAGGAAAAATGTGGCTTCCACCTCCTGCCGTAGGACGTGGCAGCCCTACTTCCAGCTCAAGGCCTGAGCTCCTGCAAGGGGAAGAAAGAGAAGACATGTTTCTCTGTGGGGCCACTGTCACAAGGCCTCTAAGCCCTCTCCAGTTCAGATGGGATTGCATATTTAACTCTGCTGAGCTTTGCAGTAAGGGAGCTGGTTAAGAAACCTCTCATAGGGTGTTGCCATTGGCATTTAAACTCCTGACTAAGTCAAGCACAAAGGTTGACAGAGGCAAGTGGTGAAGAGGAGATGCAGGTGGTGATTTTTGAAAATTCTCTTTAAACTGAGTCATTCCCCTGTGATAACTCCGTAAAGTCACATTATATATTAAAACAGGGGCATAAGCCAGGAAAACATGCAGCATACCATCCTCTGCAGGCACCCAGCAGTGCTTAGAGCAGGATGGAGGCAGCGGTATCTGCAGCCTCTTAAGAATGTCTTGTGCTCTTTTAATAGTTCTCCTGGAGGGTATGGAGGTTTGTATCACGTATCTTTCTCCCGTTGCTGGATCAAAAATAGTGCACTGAGTCACTTGTCACAGGCAGTTTGACAGTCCCCAGCCACGCTGAACACACGTCCCAGTGCCTGCTCTGGTCCAGCTCACCCAAGGCCTCCTTCACCTCTCATCTCAAACAGCATCTTTGCCTCAGTAAGATCCGCAGTGATGGTTAAATCCCCCTTTCTGCTGCAGCACATGCTTTCAGCAGGTTGGCAGATTATGCCATCTGATCCGAAAACACACTGAAATAGGTGAAAATTTTTCTACTGCCTTCCAGGAAGCTTGGATCAGGGCTGATGGGTTTGAGTTGTCCACCTTGGACAGCTGGGCCTGGATAAATTAAGCTACACCCAGGAACATGCACTGCAAAGAGCATTGACCCTGCCCATTTTTACTGGCCACACCAGTATGACTTTGAGCATGAGGAGGGAAAGGTGTAACCAGGGAGAGTAAAATGCAGTGATTTTGAACCTTCTTCTCTTCTCCTCAACCCTAATCTGAAGAGCTAAAGCACTTCCCCATCCACACAAATCTGCAAAATGAGCAAGAGGGAATAATTTATGGTGGTTTATTAATATCCAGTTCCTAGGAATAGGTATTTCCACGCTTTGTACAAATAATCACTATTAAAGTTGCAAGCTTGGCAATTTCACAGAGGTTTTTGGGTTTCTAGTATCTATTTAAATTTTGTATTTTATTTCTCGAAACATTCTTGTGTTTTATCCCAAACAATCAGTGGTAGCACACCTACGATAATTACCTTTAGGGGACACTGATGTACAAAGAAACAGTGGAAGGAAAACATGAAGAAACAAACTCAGTTTTCAAAGAACTATTAATTACTTGTTAGTTTGATATTATTAACTATTAATAAATAACTAACCACAAGGGTCAGATGCCAGAAAGTCCTCCTAACACTGCTTCCAGCAGGTCTCTGTTGTGACTCGTACCTTGCTCAACACACAGCAATACTGACCCACTGGATTGAGTAATGCTGATCATGCCCAGCCTGCAGTCTCTCCTCACAGGGCAGCCTGAATTGTGACATTGACCCCGTTTAATCTATGCTAGCATGTAAACAATGGCCTTCTTAAAGACTTTTATACCAGCCTCTCATAGCTGCTTTGAGGCCTCTGATATCTCATATCAGCATTGTCACACCTTTGCTGGTCCTTCAAAAGAAAACAGTTTATTACTTCTTGACTGTGTAATTTCAGGATTTTATATGTATTTATTTTGTGTCCCTGACTTGCTTTTGCCTTAGTATGCCACCTCTTCAGTTCACTTCTGGTTTGTATCTATTTTATAGGGACATGTCCTACTGAAGTACTGTACTTATCATGGCCTTGAGGGATAAAGAGACAAAGTCAGATCTTGTTATACTCTAATTTTGCACAAGTATGTCCCTTGATTTCACTAGGAAACACAACACAAAACTGATATGTTCAGTGGCTCACCAGCAGTCAGTATAAGTATTTTAAAGCTATGGCATAAAACAGAAGTGTTCTCCAGTCTCATTTTCTAATTAACCATCCAAGCAGCTTCACAAACTCCAGTTTGAATGCACTAAACAGCGTGAACTTGTGAGTACAAACTCACAGCGATATCCGGACTCTGAAGCACACGAAAGGCAATTCCCATGGTCTCGGTTCTGGCACACCCAAAACTCATCACTGGGTCACTACAAAACCTGTGCTTCCTACTTCTTGCATCCATGTCCACACCTCACCCAGGGCAAGCCTCTGCCTTCCCTCATGCTGGTTTCAGTGCAGGGGACACGTGGCAGCCACGGCACACTCTCCTCAGCAGGATCCAAACTGGGATACCACCTACCAAAAAGCAGACGTGGGCTGAGAAAGTAAGTTCAAAAGCCCACTCACTTTGGACTTCAACTACGAGAAACGCAGCGTTTGCTCATTGCTAAGAATGAGGGCTTTTGTACGTCAGATGATAGCACTGACGCCTCCTTCAGAACCTTCCCACAGAGAATGGGGGCGGTCAGCACAACTTTCAGAAAAATTTCAGATACCTGTGCTCCTAAATACTGTATAAATGACGAAATGAAAGGATCCCCAAAAAGAAGTGATATCCCTAGCGCAAAATAAATACGCTTTTTCTTCCTTGCTCTGCCCCCTAAAATGCTTTTGAGTATTTTCAATGGTGAAAGAACAAAAGGATTTTAGATCACAAAAATCCCAAGATGCAAAATCACCAACGCTTTGATTCAAATAACTCACTGTTTTAACAGCACAAATCCCGCCTTCCTCATAATATTATGATGCCTCTTTATTGCAAGATGTGGAAAATCAGGGCAATTCTTGTAAAAGAAGTGACATAGAAGATGGTCCTGACAGCAGCCCAGTGAAAGTAAACTATTTCCTCCCATATTTTCCCTTCCATTCACAGTGAACAAAGAGAATTTTCTACCTCCCTCCTTCACAGATCTCCCTGAGGCAAAAAGAAGCTTGCATCAGCTCCTGAAAATAGTTCCATGATATTGCTGCTGAAACTGCTTCTCATTTAGGTCAAATCTCAAAAAAGAGCTTTAAAATGCAAGCAGAGCTGAGAATGTTTTATGAGAGAACCTTGAGGTGTATCTCACACATTGAAATAAGGCACTAAGTAGACTATGGAGAAGTCAGAGATCTCAAGTCAGTGGAAAGCTAACTGATGTTTTGTCTATGACTCTTGTAAGAATAGAGCAGTGTTATTGTGACAAGTGATTAAAAACAAGGAACTTTCAAAGGAACGAAAGTGCCTGGGAAATGCAGGCAGCTCTACCGTAAGTGCCCTCTGACAGGCAATGGGAGATGGCACAGCAGAAGGGAAAGCTGGAAAATAATGTGACAGTTCAACTCAGTCTGACAGAAGAAATTTAACTATCAAAGGCATTTAACCATTCCCTATTTTAAAAAATAAGAGGGGGGGGTATGATTACAAATGTAAAATATGCCTTTTCAAATTTTCTTTGCTGACTACTTGTTAATGCTAGTTTTACTATCTTTTTTTGTCAAACTCGTATCACAGTTTCAGACCTGTTCACAGAAGAGTACTGGTGTACTGGGAATTTGGAAACTGAGCAGGTATTCCTGTAATAGACAATCTGATAATGCTGACACAAGACTTCATAAAATAGAAATACACAAACAGCAAAAACAAAACTAATATTTTAGCATTTTAAAACAACACTTGATTTCAGCCAAAAATTGTTCTGTTTCATTACAGATGCCTGAAAACATTACATAGTTCCTATGGAAATTTTCTTATACTTTTGAACGAGTTTGTCATATTGTTACACCGACAAGGCATAGAAAGTTTGCGATAATGTTGCCAACACAAACCATTTTGGGTGTTTGTTGTGAACTACATAACACACGAGACTTGATGCTTGAAGCTCCTTTAAGTTGAAACTAAGTTGGTGCCTCTGCACAGCTTGTGTAACCAGGCGTTGGATCAGTTCTGTAATACTTATTTTTAGGTTGTATTTGAACATTATATATGTTTTTCCCGGGTGATTGGTTGCACTGTAGTTAATACTGGCGCTAACTCCTGATAACCCTGCATAGAAATAAAATTGCTGCTGTTACCAGTGTGCCCCGACAGTGGATTTGCAGGAGTGTGCTAAGGGGAATTGTTCCTGTTGTCACTGTGGAATCGAGTGGGTGAACATGGCTCCTTCATGTTTGCTGATGAATGACAGATCTGGAATTCGGCTAAAAACCAAGGCAGGCTCCGGCTGTGTAGGGAGATCAGGATGAAATTGGAAAGGGAATCATTTCCTCAGCAGGAGTGTATTTTGTGACACAGCACTCCAGAAGTGACCACACTGCCTTACACATCCCTCCTTCCTCTAAGCACAAAAACCTCAGCTTTTTTTACAAAAGGGAAAGGAGTGAAAGGTTTTGCCTACTGCATGCAGATATAATTTCAGCATTCAGCACTGCCCTTTCATTTAAAATATCTAATTCTATTTTTATTCCCTGATTATCTAGCAGAATTTACCGTGACCCATGAGAGGTTAGTTTCTTTACTGAGTGTCCTATTGCCATGCGGCTCAGGGAGGGGGAGAATCTTGCTTCTCTTCATGTAGAAATTGAAATACATAATTCTTCTGATTTATAATTAATTTCAACTGCATATTATTTGTTACTCCTTTTAAAGGTAAAGTATTGCTTACTATCAGAAATGTACAGTCCAAATAGGTATTCCTGAATGTTTTATTTTGGAAGTGTAAAGGTTTTTAAAATAAACAAAGGTAAATATTCAAATACATTTCATATTGCATCTAGTAGGAGTGGCTCCATACAACACAATATGGATGATGCAAATCCAGCAGTATATTTCTTTTAGACATAGAGTATGATATATAGACACTTCCAGATCTGGTCTTCTGTCATACATAACAGTGTCTGACCCATTTGTTATAATTTAAATCCAGCCTACTTTATTAAATATTAATATTTTATTTTGCTATATTGATTGTTCAAGTAAGAAAAAAAAACAGTTAAAAACTACTCACTTGCAAACACTGCAAGACCCTAGAAACTGCAATGTCTGAGGATAAATACACATTTATTTTTTGAGAAAATGTGTTATTACCTGCAGTTGAATCAATGCAGAATGATCGTGCAATTAAATAGTCTGACTTGAAATTTAAAGCTGCAGACCATGATTTTCCTACACCCAGTTCTGCTTGAAATCTCTCACACCTTTAAAAAAATATAATTAGCTTTAGATTTCCCCACAGTAAATAACACCAGAACATACCTTGTGCTACCAACCTGAATTTAAAAAAAAGTAAGAGGCCACCTCAGTGTTTTGAGTTCATGAGATCTTTCAGATACAAAGCCCTAACAGAGTTTTCCAGTCAGAAGGCATCAAGAAGGCTCTTCGCTTATGGTAAACTTGGGTTTTAGCTTGACAGACCTCCTCCTCATTGTGCCTTTAGGGGACAATGTCATGGTGTCCATAATGCTCTTGTCCTCCTCCAGCTGCCTCGCAGTGCAAGAAGGGGTGGGCACTTTCACTGTGTTGCCAAATTTAGAGTAGTCCACAGAGTATCGCCCATCTTCCTCTGCCACAATGGGCACAAACCTTTGGCCCCAGAGGATTTCGTCTGCCAGGTAGGAGGTTCTGGCTTGAGTGGTGATGCCCGTGGTCTCCACCACCCCTTCCAAGATGACAATGATCTCCAGGTCCTCGTGGTGGTGAAGGTTCATGGGGGAAATGTCATACAGGGGGCTGTTCTTGTCTATCACGTGGTAGATGATGAGTGGGGAGACGAGGAAGATGCTGTTGCCCCCCACGGGGTTCTCCATCTGGATGTCGATCTGGTTGAGGGGCACCACCTCGCCCTCCAGGCTGGCGGTCTTCTTCACCACCTGCATGCGGATGGTGGCACTGATGATCATGCTCTTCCGCAGGTCGCCCACGCGCAGCATGAAGCAGAGCTTGCCCTCCCGCAGGGCGATGACCGCGTGCTTGCTGAAGATGAGGGTCTCGGCCCGGCGGTGGGCCTGCGAGGTCTTCATGAAGATGCAGCCCAGCATGATGGCGTTGATCACCAGCCCCACGATGTTCTGTACAATCAGCACCAGGATGGCGGCCGGGCACTCCTCCGTCACCATGCGCCCGCCGAAGCCAATCGTCACCTGCACCTCGATGGAGAAGAGGAAGGCGGAGGTGAAGGAGTGGATG